GCCCGTATCCCGCGATAGTGCCTAAACCCCCCCTTTATGCCACGCTGATCCCTAATTCCTCCATTAAATTCGGCCCTCATTCCACATCCACCTTTACACTTAGCTCTAATTTCACTCCTATAACCCTTACCAATGCCTCCTCCTCCATTAAACTGAACCCTAATTCTACACCCATACTCATCTCTAATCCCGCTTCCACTTTTAAACTCAGCCCGAATTCCACAGCTGCCTCCCATCAAGCACCGATAGCCACATTCGTTTGTACACCAACATCAACAGGGCTTCTGTTAGACGGTGACACCAACGAGATCAAGGCAGTGAAGGAAGAGGAACCATGGGAAGAGAAGTGAGTAAAAGAATTTCCATTTATTTTTTTACATTTGGTTTACAGTATAATTTATTGAACCCTGTTTCTGCCACAAAAAAAACAAAAATCTCACACTTTTGAATTTTTCTTAGAATTCTGCATATTTATCTCAGAATTCTGACTTTTTTTCTCATAATTCTGAGTTTACATCTTGCAATTTCTTTTCTTTTTTTTTCATGCCACAAATATTTGCAGGTTTATATTTATAAATTTGTGAGTTTATATTTCACAATTTGGGCTTTTTTCTCAGAACTGTGAGTTAAAAATTGTGAGTTTATATCTTGAAATTTTGAATTTTTCTGACAATTCTGAGAAAAAAAAGAGTCATAATTATGAGTTGTAAACTCAGAATTGTAAGAAAATGTCTGAATTGAGAGATAAACAGTTGCCGTTACCTTTCTTATTTTATTTTAATTTTTTCGTGACTTCCATAGTAATGTTACCTGGACACATTTCAATCATTCGATTAATTTTTTTCTCTTTGTTTTGCCTTTGCCTTTGATTTTTTTATTTTTTTGAGAAATTAATATTTTATTAAGCAAGGACACAATTCATCAAAAGTGACAGTAAAAACATTTATAATGCTACAAAATATTTATTTGTCAAACAAAACAATGTAATAATAATCACATAATAATGAAAATAATTGTATTAATTGAGCATTAAATCAGCATATTAGAATGATTTCTGAAGGATCATTAGACACTGAAGACTGGAGTAATGATGCTGAAAATTCAGCTTTGATCAAAGCAATAATTTACATTTTAAAAGATATTTCAGTAGAAAACAGCTATTTTAAAATGTAATATCCACAATATCAATTTTTACTAAACAAATGCAACCTTGTGAGCATTAGAGACTTCTTTTAAAAACATTAAAAAACGCACTAACCCCAAACTTTTGAACGGTAGTGTAAATTGTGCGACATGCATGCATAATGAAGCATCTTTGGTTTGTGTTACAGTGTGGATGCTATTGAAGAATGGCCTATTACAAAGAAAGAAAGCCTAGAGCGTTCAGAATCACAGAATGCGAAGAGGCAACGACTCTCATCTCCGATCCCTCAATCCACAAAACCTCCACGGACAGACAGACCCTTGAAGCACAGTTCAGAAACTACGCCTAGTCCTCTGCCTGAACTTGCACCCATAGCCACTTCTGATCATGTGCCCACCTCTCAACCCACTCCCACAACCATCGATGAACAATTGACCGCTCTATTCACATCTGATTACAACCCTAATCCTGCACCCATCAGGCCTTGGGCCGACAGCGACATCAACAGTGACCTTGATGGCGACAGCGACGAGATCAGTGATTCGGGGAGGGAAGAGGAACTGTGGGAAGAAGAGTGAGTAAGGAAGTCTTGCATTTATTGTAGATTTTTGTCATTCCAGTTTATTAACACAAAACATTTTTGCATCTAAGATGCAAGACATGGTCACAGTGGTCAAAAGCATCCATCTAGTAGAATGCAGAAACGTTGTGTGAACAGCCATAGTCACTTTTTTTTTATACAAAATAAAATTCTATACAATGAAAGCAATTGCTTGAAAGGGTTATGTCAATAATATTTCAAGATAAACACTTGGACTGAAGCTGCTTAGATTTACTTGATTATCCATACATCCTTTTTAGAAATATCGAGTTCAAATGTGCGTATCAAATATGATCATCAGGCTTTTGAGGAACTTTTTTTTTTTTTTTTTTAATCTCTCAGTCATCATTGTATTGGATTGTATTGTATATATTGTTCTCCACAATAAAAAATACAGAGCTTTGATCATAAAGGATTCCCGTGAGTCGTTAGAAAGTCTCAAAAATCTGAAATTTGCTTAAAATGTCTTAAATATGTGTGTTCTTTTCTGATAGGCATTAAGTTTTGAGTTAAGGTCTAAAATCTAAAAAATAGAGCAGTTTAGTGCAACTCAGTGTTGTTATTGTATGTAGTCTTGTTTACATACGTAGCATTTGACACGCTTCTGTTAAACTTAAATAATCTTTGAAAAATGATGTATTGTGATTTTGCGAGCTTGTTCTTTCATGTGCAAGAGTGCTTTTCCTAAATATTAGCACGATTGCAAATGTGATGTTGATTTAACAGTTCAGTAAACAACCAATAAATAAATACAATAAATTCAGTATATATTCAATGTATTTTTAATCAGTTTTGAGAAAGGAAACTTTCCAAATGAAACCACAGCAGATAAGCAGAACAGTTGTGCATCTCTGAGCAACACAGCAGTGCTTTATTATTGAATTAATTAGTGTTTTGAACAAATCAGTTTAGTTATTAATTCGCTCATAACACAGTGACTTGCCACCATCTACTGGCAGTTTTACTTTTTATTTAAAGTGCTGGTACCTTTTAATTTCAATTAAATATTTAATAAAAACAGCCTCGTAGCATTATATATATGCAGTGAATGCATTCAAAAACTTGTCTAATCAACAAAATCCCCAAACATATGGAAATATAATGTTTTGTCAGCATTGCACTGCTCTAACATACAGTATGAATTTGTATTCCTTTGTGTCCTAAAAAGGTCTTAAAAAGCCTTATAAATATCAGAACCTGCACCAAAATGCATATTCTTGTTCAGTTTGGGTCTCTGAATAAATTTGAGGTGTTTTTTCCTCCTGGAGTACAAGTCCTATATATGATCCTATATCATACTGTATGAGCAATAAAAGCCTGATGTATCAAATGTGATACTCAACTAAAACACATGCAAACTTATTTATTTATTAATTTTGTCTAAAGGTTCAATAGTTTTTTTTTTAATCTATTATTTCATGTAAGGCTTTATAGGGTTAACCCATATACTAGTGACTAGTTTTCAGTTGTTGTTATTGTTATTGTGGCCACTGAATTCATGCCTATAAAGTGTGTTTGTTTTGTATTACAGTCTTGATTCTGGTGACGATTGGAACCCTCTTCTGGAAAGTCCGGATCGTTCAAAATCACCTGCATCAGCTCAGTCTCCAAGAATAGGCAACCCCCCTACACCCACATCATCAGGACCGATAGACAAACTCTCTATATCCACATCTGAACCTGCTTCTAAAGCCACGCCCACACCCACTTTTGAAGCCACCACTTATCCCGCCCCTGAAGCCCCTCCCACGACCAACCATAATTCCACTCCCGCGCCCATCCCTAGTCCAGCACCCACATTACCACGAAAGAGAGGCCGGCCCCGAAAGCATGCTTTAAAACCCAACCTTATACTTAAACCAACCCCTGATCCTGCTCCTACAACCCTCCCAAATTCATTACCAGCTGCTGATTCCACTCCCGTAACCATCTCCGATCCCTCCGCTGATCCCATTCCAGCATCAAGTTTGAATCCCGCTCCCAATCCCTCAATCTCCATCAATTCTGAACCCAATCCCGAACCTGCTTCCACATCTGAAGCTATGCCGCAACCTGCTTCGACCGAAGAGAAACCGAAGCTCGTCGCAACTCCTTATTCACCAAGACAAACCAGAGGCAAGTCATCATCTGCCTTGGATTTACCTTGGACGAAAGTTGACAGTAAGCCAGATAAGTGGCTTGACATCACCAATGAGGATGAGGAACCGCTACTACCGAATTTCTCTCCCAAGCGACCTCCAGGTCCACAGCTCACGACGGACAGAACGTATACACCCTTACAGTTGTTCCAACTCTTTTTACCCAACTCTGCAGTCAAGACAATCGTCCGAAACACCAACAGCAATGCCGAAAAGAGAGTGAAAGCTGGAAAGAAGTTCGTCTGGGTACCTCTAACCATAGCCGAGTTCTACTCGTATGTGGCGTTAGTTGTCTACATGGGACTGGTGAAGGCGAAGTCAATTGCAGACTACTGGGCGAGAAAACGAATGTACAATTTCTCGTACCCGCAATCCATCATGTCCCGAGCAAGATTTCAGGCCATCTCCTGGAATCTTCACCTCTGTGATCCTCAAGAGGACGAGGAGAACAATAAGAAGAAAGGCACCACGGGTTATGACCGGCTGCTCAAAATCAAGCCTCTGTACACAGACGTTCTTTCAGCGTGTAGGAAACACTTTCACCCCAACAGAGAGATTCTGGTAGACGAGAGAATGGTTGCTACCAAAGCTAGGATTGGACTCAAGAGATATATGAATGACAAACCAATTAAATGGGGCTACAAACTCTTCGTTCTTGCCGATTCGTCCTGTGGGTACACCTGGAATTTCTTCGTGTATGAAGGAAAGACTTCAACGTCGTCGGGGAAAGGTGCCGGGTACGATTCGGTAATGAGACTACTGGATCACAAGGTCCTCGGCAAGGGTTATATGTTATACATGGACAATTTCTACACCAGCCCGACACTTTTCTTGGATTTATTGCAGAACGGCATCCTCGCTTGTGGCACGTTGCGCCATGTCTCCAGTTTACCGAAGGTCAGCGATCTGAGCGGAAGATCTGAATTAGGATCCATCCGTTGGTGTCGACAAGGTCCTCTTCTGTTTGTCAAATGGATGGATGCGAGAGAAGTCCTCATGTGTTCCTCGATTCACAAGGCATTCAAGGGGGATACAGTCACCAGGAACGCCAAGGGTTCCGATGGGGTTTGGAGAACACGTCTAATTCCTGTTCCATCCGCTGTGAAGGACTACAGCAAATACATGGGAGGCGTTGATCTTTCGGATTCCCTCATAGAGCATTATAACGTCCTCCACAAAACCACAAAATGGTACAAGACCTTCTTCTTTCATTTTCTTGACATCGCAGTAGTCAACAGTTTCATCCTTCACCAAGAACTGGCCAAAGCTCAGAGCAAGGTTCCTCTCAACCATAAATTGTTTAGGGAAACTCTTGTTTCTGAACTTGCACGTGCCGGCAGAGGTAAGAATCCCTTTGCTGCCAAAGATCCCTCAACATCCGCCACGCCGGTCTCCACAAGTAAGTCTGCACACGTGCCTTCAACCCCTACTGAAATGAATGAAACTCCGTCCGACACGGAGTCGTCTCCCCCAGCCTCACCTGCCCAGACGGAGCGATGCTATCCGGAGTATTTCGGTTCTGATGCTACGCATGGGAGGCGAGTTTGTGTGATGTGCAAACTGCAAGGAAATAAAGTCAAGACTCCCATATACTGCTCCCACTGCAAGGTGGCGTTGTGCTTCGTGTCATCACGTAACTGCTTCAAGAAATGGCACATGGATCATCACCTGGAAGATTTGTAGATATGTTGCATGTTTTGTTTTTTTGAGGCCTTTTATGACCATTTTTCATTTTGTATGAACTTGTTATCTGTATAGTTACGACTCTATTAAATACAACTACAACTGATATAGTCTCGTGTTTTCTGTTCGCTTCTTGGTGTACATTTTTATCAGGTGCCTTTCAAATAAAATCAAATAAGGGCACTGCCATAGGCGGAGCATGTGTAAGGCTGGGGAAGGCTTAGCCTTCCCCTGGCCACGGGGACAATTGGGGCAAAAATGCCCCTGCACAAATAAATGAAATCTATTACGCCTGTTGCTAACAAAGTGAATATGAATAGACAGTGTCGATTGCGGCATTAAATTAAGATCTGTTCATGTTGCACCGTATTTCATTTTAGGCGTTTTTACAGTGTTGCGCATTTGAAACAATCGCACACAATTCTGTTGAGCTTAGGAATGCAATGGCCAATCAGAGGCGTTCAGATGAGTCATCGTTGAAACAGATCGGTTTTGTAGAGTGCGCGCGCGTTCGCTGACTGAATTCCAGACTCTTGCGAATTCTCTCATCATAAACAACAAAACGCAGATGTAAATGCAGGGTTGCCGACTCTCACGCATTTGGCGTGAGCTTCCAGTTTCATGCACTCCCTCTGCTCATGTAAATCTCACGCCAAATTGGCAACCCTGCTTGCGATGTGAAACAAAGTTCAAATTTTGTAAGTTTTAATACTAAATTCAAACAAAAAAATACAGTTTTAGCGCACTTAATGTGGCGTAAATCGTAAAATGTAGCGCTTCAGTTAAAGCCAGAGCCATTGAAAAACAGAGTTGCGACAAGCTTTGATCTCGCAGGCGTCGCCGCGCGGTCACGTGGTTCATGGAGCTCTCTAAACAAACCAGCGCACAATACAGTTGAATGGGTTTAAGTAGGATAGACGACAGCTTCATTATACAGGTATTTGCAGCAATTTTTTGCTAAACATTACAGCATATTATGCATTGATTATTACGTTGATGACATTTACAGTATCATCTTTATTCTGGTTTTCTTAACCCTCAGGTAGGCCTATTGCTTAGTACTTATAATGTGACCATACAGCTTAACTATTTTTCAGTTAAATAAGTGTTGTATATTTTAGTTCAATAATATTTATTTAATATTTTGAGGAAATCTTTTGGTACTAAATACTATTTGTGCAATAATTATGGTCCATTAATGACTTAAAATGTTTTTTTCTAATATTTCTACTACTTATATTACAATTAGTGTAGTATTTAAGGTTAAAATAGAGAAAAGGGTTTTAAATTCCTAAGCAAAGAGGCAAATTAAAGTAATTTTGTGGTCAGAAAAAAAATCATTTTCATTTGTAATGCCATGGTTTACCCACTAGGTACCTGTATGACTACTAAATATATCTAGAATATTGCAGGTCATACCCGCTTAATTATTTTTAAGTTCTTCATTTGAATAAATATTTAGACATGATTAAACACTAGATTTTTAAATGAGAAATTTAACAAGTTAATAACTTAACATCCTTTTATAATGATACTTGCATAATTACAATGAAAGCAAGTTATACGGTATACGTAAAACGTTATATAATCTATCAATTTCTAACGTTTTTATTAAATTGTAATCACGTTAAATACAAATTCAGTCCTATTAAACAGTTTTTTAGCCTACATGACACCCATGTCTGGTTCTTGCCTAAAAAGACGGGTTTATGATGTTTAATACATTTGGCTGCTTTTAGCCTTACCCTGGAGTTGGTTCATCCTCCGCCTATGGGCACTGCTGAAAATTCAATATTCATCATAAAAAGAAATGTTTACATAATGATGTAGCGTGTCTTTTTTGTATGTTAAATACATACTTAGTCGTATCTTAGTTCAATGAGATCAACTGTAAGTATGTTGATTTCCGTGGAAGGTGTAACATGGTGCAGTTATCCAATAATTGAACAGTTTGAGGATCTCAATGAGCCCAACACAACAACACTGACTCATTAATGTCAGGAAACCTGTTTGATAAGTAGTTATTTAAGTATCATTGAGATGTTATAATTTTTCATTAATATTTTGGATTAGGTTTTATTGTTATATTTTCCATTTTTATTTAAATTTTTGTTAAAGTTTTAGTAATTCTGTTTTTATTGCCCCCTCC